TCTTTTGTATTTTCGTGCTACTTCAATTCTACGTTTTCTTTATTCCTGTGTTTTAAGAATCCTACTAGAGGGCCTTAGACTCGAAGGTAATTACTGCGACGATGAATGATACATGGGCGGGTGAGGGAGAGCCAGCGTACGTAGTGCGATAGTATGGGAGACCGTACCGAGCCATCACGTTTGAAGGACCTGAAAATGATCTTATTAACGTCTGATTTAGATGGTGTGTAGGGTCCAGGTAGATTATGATATATATGCATGGTTTTCTTGATACGAAGAGCATATATATATATATTTTATATGACTGGCAGAATTTTTCTCAAGCCTGTTTGGATCTTATGAATTGAAACCAATATCTACAAAGTGCTTCTCATTTTATTATTAGATTATTTTTCAATTCCTCTCAATTCTTGGGAACCAAACAGGGCCGGAAATAGTCACTTCTGATCCAAAATACAAGCCGGTTCAAGTATTCAACATGTGGTCCATACTTAATGTGAGGTGCCTACGGTTCGTCTGTCCTGCATTCCCAAAGCATTGATAAAAGGATCGACCCTCTTACGGGGTAACAGACTCCTATGTACGGGTGGGACATAAAGTTTGGGGATTTTCTCGACTTACGTGAAAAAGTCTCCTTCTTAACAACAATATCTCGGGGGACGTCATCCCCCGCGAGTTGAGTTTTTTTTACTTAATGTGAGACCAGTCATTCCTACTAAAAAATAAAACACGCTATCTTGAAATATAGAAAGGCTCACACATTTGCAAAGATAGGTCATAGAACTTCTGTACAGTCACTTGGATCGGGGTGTGCTAATGACATTGAGCTAGCTATTTTTGTTGAATTTATTTAAGTGGATTTGGCCCAAACATGTTTCAACTAAATCAAATAAATTCCAAGCATACAGTAAATTTTATGTGAAAAAGAATAATCTCGTGTGGTAAACTGAATGGGGGATTGCGTCAGTTTAAACTGGGGCTACTATGTACACCTATTGTGAGTTTAAACGGGGGATTGGTGGGCCTTCCCTTCAGCGTCTTGCAGTCTCCAGGTGAATGCGTGGAACTCGGCCCACTGGCGCTCCCTGACCCCGCCCCCGCCGCAGTCCTCCGCCTTGCCCTGGGCGAGCAGGGTGGGAACGCCGCGGCGCGCGGTGCACGACGAACTGCGCGTCCACCACCCCGATCTGCGCTTCAGGATCGTCCACGCACCTCCAGAAGTTCCAGTCCAGCCCCCACCCATGGATGAGATCGTTATGCACCATGTGCCACACGCACGCCGCCGACGCCTCCCGCCCGAACACCGGCGCCATCACCTCCACGAACCCGCTGCACGGCAGCCGCCGCTCCTCGACGGGGCCGCAGCTGCTGCGGTGCACCACGCTCTCTCCGTTGCCGTTTCCGCCGGTCCTCCGGACGGTGACGTCGTACGTGTGCACGCAGGCTTCCGGACGACGCGCACGTACTCATCGGCGTCGAAGAAGGTGGCGTCCAGGTCCTCGTCCCACAGGAAGACGTAGTCGTGGGGCGCCACGATGCTGGGGGTGCAGGAACCGCTTGGCGTACCACCACTTGGCCTGCTTTCAGGTTTCAACTGCAAAGTGACGGATTATATATGGCTTGTGTTGCTTGTTTACCAGCTGTTTTGTCGAGAAAATAAAAACTAGATTGAAGTTTTAACTTCTGCATTGTGTCTTTAAGTTCGCAATAAACCAATTAAGTCAGCAAGGAAAACTGAGAAGGTACCTTTCTTCTTGCCCTCGGTTCCATCCCTCTCTGGGGAGAGATTGTTTGACATCCTTTGCCAACGTAAAAGAAACTGTTGAGAATACAATCCATATATAAGAAGATGTCTGAATTCCTCTCATTTCAGTCAGTTGTTGTAATCTTCTGGAGAAAGAAACTTTGAGTGTTATTAGTATCTTTGCTCAAGTAAACTTCCTTGGTAATAATTGTAAGGCTTAGTTTATTAATCCTCTAAGAAGTTGTTGTCATACTTTAATATTTTTTTGCGTAATACCTATATAGTTCTGCTTATACACATCGTATTTGATATGAAACTACGAATGCTACAGCTAATAGGTGATGAAGAGTTTAAAATCTGGAGCAGAGAGGCCTAAAAGCTCCAGTCCAATCACTGTTGGATTATTTCATTCATGAAATTTCCTGCAGAAATAGCTCTGAGTTTGTCCAGGTTATTCCGTAATTATCTTTGAAGGTATGTTGTTTTTTTAATTGTTCAGATTCAAACTGGTTTTCAATTATGTTCAAAGGCATGTGATAAGTACATAACATCTTAACCAATCAAGTTTGGACTTTGAAATATGTATATATTTCTGTGAAGTTTAGACTTTCAAATATGTATCTTAACCGACCAGTTTTCCAACTCAGAGTGTTTTTTTTTAAAGTTCATCTCTTAATTTGATGAGACTTATGAGTGGAGAAAATGAGAAGGTTACTATTCCTGCAGAACCCAGTAACCCACTTAATATGGCCATGATTATGTTCTTCTCAGAAGACTTACACTAGATGTGCTGGCTGGAACATTAGCTCAGCCAAGATAAGCTAGCGCTTGTTTTGGTACTGTTCTTAGTCATGTTTTTTTTTCTTTGTGACGAAGTAAGACTCCTGAAGTTGTGGATTTTGTGCCTGCTAATTGGGTATAGCAGTTAGCCAATTTAGGCTCTAATCTCATACTTAACTGGAAGGATGAAAAAAAAACTTTTTCATCTACTTGCATATTGTACCGAGATACATGCTATAAGAGTATAAGACTTGAGGAAAAAAACATGCCAACCAGACCATTTTTTTAAAAAAATTTAGAGTTCACCGATGAGCTTTAATTTTTTTTCGAATTTACATTAACATTGTCATGACAAATTTCTACCTTAGGATTTTCCATCCACCGTTCCTGACAAGAATCATACTTTTCCTTTTCCAGGTGCATCTACAAGAGCACTTACAACAATTATATGGGACTTGAATATAATCAGGAGTACTTTCTGAGGGTATACCTACAATAGTATTTAGCATGGTCCCTTATGCGATTTGTAAATTGTTCATACGTAATGTATCATGTGGTTTCGTGTACATCGGTTACTGTTTATTTTCAAATGTTAGTATCACTATTTGTTACCATGGTACCAAGATAATGTGAATGGCTATTCATCGTCTCATCCATTAATTATTGAGAATAAAATACGGCTTTAGTGATGCCCGGTAGAGTAAGCCGTAGGGCAGGACGCGCGAAGCGCGCTAAATTTTCTACTATATTTTATGCTAGCATCATATCTTATGAAGTCATGCTTCACAATTACATTTACCTTTGCTCGAGGACGAGCAAAGAATAAGTGTGGGGAGCTTGTTGGCGGTCCTTAACTCCTAAAATTAACCGCCAAACCCTGCATGAAATCCATTCATATAAACACAAATTAGTATTAGGGATTATAACTAACAAATTCCACAAGTTTTGATGATTGTTTGTATGCAGGAGGACATATGTGCAAATACACATAAAGGGCTAAGAGAACACATTGAATATTAAAGAAAAGCTCGGAAAATGAAAGAGGCCAACTTACTAGATAAATCTGGGCCCAAACACATGGATCCATGAGCCCATAACTGAAGCAAAACCATCTCAACTCCACGCATACACCCATGGGCCCAAATAAGAAGCCCACAAGGAGGTCACCCACCCAATCTGGGCTCATTTGGGCTCAGTAGGGGGTTGGTCGATGCCATGGGTCGCCCGACCCCCTACCAAGGCCCATTTGCCCTCAGGGGGGAGTCACTTACCACCTTGCCAATGACGGTTGTGGGGTGGATGGCCCGAATTGAATGCGTTGGATGGAGGTTCCTTGACTAATAGATGGAATACAGGGAATATTCTATGGATCATTCCCTCCTCTCCACCTATAAAAGGAGGCCACCCCCTCCTCACACACCACACACCACAAGGGAGCACCTCCACTCTATTTTCAAGATGTAGAAGTAGAATAGTGTAGTTGTGAGTTAGGGAGAGATGCTCAGGTTCCAGAAGAGTCCTCGGAGGTTCGATATATCCTTGTATCATTCCTTTGTAAAACTCAAGTAGCAATATATGTATCTTCTCTAATTACTTGAACGTCTTTCATGGTTATCTAGTTTATTTCTTAGTGTTTAGCTAAGCATAGTTGGTATAGTTGTTCTACACCTTAGGAACCTCCCTCAAAGTCTCCTCCAGACATTCGAACGCAATACTACTAGGAAGCATGTCATCACCCTCGTCTTTAAACCTTAAGAACCTTCCTCAAAGTCTGCTCCAGACATTCGAACGCAATACCAATAGGAAGCATACCATCACCCTCGTCTTTAATTCCCTAGATGTTGGCGGAAAATAAGTTAGATTTTTTCTGCAAAAAGGCAAAACTTAGTAAATAAACAACACAAAAGCAGAAGATATGTGTGATGGGATTAAGTGGACAACCTTGATGTGAAGAGTTTCTAGGCGTGAAAAATAGTATAGGCGTGAAAAATAGTATAGAAAGTCCAGCATTTTGGGAACGTTTAGTCGAAGCAGTTGCAGGCAAAACGTTTTCACGCTCGCCAATTGAGCAACAAGGCAAGTAGCCATGGTTCACTGATATACAAATACAGTAACATGAAGATTAAAATGACTTAGTAAGAAGAGAAAATACCCAGCAACATGATAGAATAAATGGATCAAGACGAATATTAATTCAATGAATACTAACCATTCAATGAATACTACTAATTAGACTCCGATAGAAACTAATATGCATAGGCTTCCTTATTTATGTGAGCGCATACAACCTATCTCAGGGAAACACGTATTTATAATAAATAGGGGTACATCGTTTCCTCTTTATTGTCCTATAAAAATCCTATAAAGTCAAGTTTTTTTAGACAGAGGAGGGCATTATATTTTAAAAGAAGAGTATAGTTAATAAGTTAGCAAATATATAATATGCATGACAAAAAAAAAGGAACGGTAAGAATACTCACATAAGCATGGCTCTAAATTGTGGTGTTATATCTTTCTTTTGACCAGCTCCCTGAAACATGGACGAACCATTCTGGCTATTCATCCAGCCCTTGTGAGAACCACTAACGCATGGAACAATAAACCAACCATGACCTCTTGTGGAATAATTCTCTATCGCATGCAGGTTTGGGTGTCTAAATCCACAGAGAAGACCATAAGTTTCTGAGGATATTCTACAGAGTACGTTGCCCTTTTTGACCATCATCCTACTAGGAGAGAGGCCGGCCATTCTATACATATGAGTTTCCAGGCCCAATTTACTGCCATCAAAATCCATTGGTCTACCACTTTTGTTGATCTCAGTGAGCACTGCATCTTTACTTGATGCATTTTTGGAATGCTCTTCATACACTTGATGATACTGTTCTTTGTCCTTGTCCATGTCTGCCAACTTGTATGATCTGATTTGTACAAAAAGGAAACAAAAATGGGCAGTCCTTAGGTTGTATACATACTCAGGAAATACAAAAAAAAGAGTATGGTGTACGGTGCCTTCAAGTAAACCTATTTATTGATTTTTTGATGAATCAATTGTCATCTTGGTAGAAGTATGCTACCAAATAGAACGGTCATTGATCTTGTTCAAATATTTTATAGGAAGAGAAATAGAGCATAAAACAATACCACTACAACAGTGAGTATCCAAATCTTACGAAGACTATGAATTGAATTCTTTGATATATCAGACATGGGAAATCATACAGATAGCCTTAATCACAAGAAGGAAAATGAAAATGAGTTGAATTTTGTACAAATGAAGCCAAAAAAAATCACAGTAATAAATTAAAAGCATGTAGTGCTTGTGGTACCAAATATACAATGGCTGTAACTAGCATTCAGGGTGGCAGCACAGAGAAGATAATAAAGGAATTGAAAGCAAATATTGGTCATGTAAGGAAAATGGACCGTAGGCCCATTTACTTTGGATTTTGGTGTTTGATGACCAACACAACCAAATTGGACTAATGAATTTGTAAGTGATTGTTTTATAGTTCAATAGGGTGCAAGATATGACTTGGACGAAGGCGACGTGATGATCCAATGATCAACACCTTAAGCAAGACCCTAGAAGCATAAGAAAAGACTCAAGATATCGAGCAAAGTCCAAGCATGAAGATAGGAACCAAGACGGACGCAAGATCACGAAGATACGAGCTCACAGAGGTGACCGGACGCTGGAAGGTGATCCAATCAGTGACTCGACCACAGCAGGCGTTAGCAGCAGCGACCGGACGCTGAACAAGCAAAATGACCGGACGCACCGATAGCACCGTTCATCATTCCGGCAACACATTCAGCATTGACCGGACGCTGGCGACAAATCGACCGGACGCAGAACAACAGCGTCCGATCGAGTACATAAAGGTTCCAGAGCGGCGAAATTACGACCGGACGCTAGCAGCGTCCGATCAGTTGATCGCGGCTTTAACGGTTGGGACGACCGGACGCGACCAGTCAGGACGTGATCAGCGTCCGGTCAGTATAAGAGTATAATACTTGAGGAAAAAACATGCCAACCAGACCATTTTTTTTTTAATTTAGAGTTCACCGATGAGCTTTAATTTTTTTTCGAATTTACATTAACATTGTCATGACAAATTTCTACCTTAGGATTTTCCATCCACCGTTCCTGACAAGAATCATACTTTTCCTTTTCCAGGTGCATCTACAAGAGCACTTACAGCAATTATATGGGACTTGAATATAATCAGGAGTACTTTCTGAGGGTATACCTACAATAGTATTTAGCATGGTCCCTTATGCGATTTGTAAATTGTTCATACGTAATGTATCATGTGGTTTCGTGTACATCGGTTACTGTTTATTTTCAAATGTTAGTATCACTATTTGTTACCATGGTACCAAGATAATGTGAACGGCTATTTATCGTCTCATCCATTAATTATTGAGAATAAAATACGGCTTTAGTGATGCCCGGTAGGGTAGGCCAGGACGCGCGAAGCGTGCTAAATTTTCTACTATCTTTTATGCTAGCATCATATCTTATGAAGTCATGCTTCACAATTACATTTACCTTTGCTCGAGGACGAGCAAAGAATAAGTGTGGGGAGCTTGTTGGCGGTCCTTAACTCCTAAAATTAACCGCCAAACCCTGCATGAAATCCATTCATATAAACAACAATTAGTATTAGGGATTACAACTAACAAATTTCACAAGTTTTGATGATTGTTTGTATGCAGGAGGACATATGTGCAAATACACACAAAGGGCTAAGAGAACACATTGAATATTAAAGAAAAGCTCGGAAAATGAAAGAGGCCCACTTACTAGATAAATCTGGGCCCAAACACATGGATCCATGAGCCCATAACTGAAGCAAAACCGTCTCAACTCCACGCATACACCCATGGGCCCAAATAAGAAGTCCACAAGGAGGTCACCCAGCCAAGCTGGGCTCGTTTGGGCTTAGTAGGGGGTTGGTCGGCCCCATGGGTCGCACGACTGAAATGTCCTAATATGGCTAGAGGAGGGAGGGTGAATAGCCTATTTAAAAATCTATAAAAGGACTAGAGCAAATTGATTAGTATGACAAATAGCGAAATACAAACTTGTTCTAGCTCTACAAGGGTTGCAAGCCACCTATCCAACAATTCTAGTTGCAATGATTACTAGTCACACAACTTGCTATGATACTACTCACTAAGAGCTCTCAACCTTGTTACTCTAAAGAGCTCCACTAGATGAACTTAATTAGCAAAGCAAGCTCTCAATTCTAATTACACTAAAGAGCTTGCCACAACTAGTTTGCAAGAATATAAATGAGTGAGTAGGATGATTATACCGCCGTGTAGAGAAGTGAACCAATCACAAAATGAGTATTAAACCAATCACCGGGAGAATACCAAATGACAAGAGACAACCGATTTTCTCCCGAGTTTCACGTGCTTGCCAACACGCTACGTCCCCGTTGTGTCGACCAACACTTGGTGGTTCAACGGCTAAGAGGTGTTGCACAAACCTCGTTCACACGATTGGACACTGCAAGAACCTACCCGCAAGTGAGGTAACTCAATGACACGAACAATCCACTAGAGTTATCTTTCGACGCTCCACCGGGTAAAGTACAAATCCCCTCACAATCACCGGAGATGGCCACGAACAATCACCAACTTGTGCCAATCCTCCACCACTGCACCAAGCCGTCTAGGTGGTGGCAACCACCAAGAGCAACAAGCGAATCTCGCAGCGAAACACGAATACCAAGTGCCTCTAGATGCAATCACTCAAGCAATGCACTTGGATTCTCTCCCAATCTCATAAAGATGATGAATCAATGATGGAGATGAGTGGGAGAACTTTGGCTAAGCTCACAAGGTTGCTATGTTAATACAAATGGCCAAGAGAGTGAGCTTGAGCCGGCCATGGGGCTTAAATAGAAGCCCCCCACGAAATACAACCGTTGGCTCAATTATTGGGCGGACTGCGCATCGACCGGACGCGCAGCTCGAGTGCACCGGACGCTGCATTGGACGCACCGTTCATGAATACCTGACGCGTCCGGTAGGTAGACCGGACACGTCCGATCGCTCCCAGACCGCCACGTGTTCAGTTCAAACCGAAGTAGCCGTTGCTGTCCACACTTGCTGCCGACCGGACGCTCAGACCAGACGCTGAAATAGAAATGACCGGACGCTGAGCCACAGTGTCCGGCCGAGACCAGAGGGTACCTGGGGCCGACCGGACATGTCTGTTAGAAATTGACCGGACGCTGAGCCTCAGCATCCGGTCGAGTCTAGTAAGCACCCACGGTCGACCGGACGCGTCCGGTCACTTTCTGACCGGACGCCGCCCGTCGTCCGATCAAGCTATTTCACCGAACAATGACTTAGCTTATTCACTGGCGGACGATCCGGTGTGGCGACCGGACGCGTCCGGACGCTGAGTTCGTCGTTAATACTGGACGTGTCCAGTCACTATACCGGACGCGTCCGGTCACTCTGTGATCAGCGTGACTAACTCATTTTCATCTCTATCTTCTTCACCCTTCCTCAAATGTGCCAACCACCAAGTGTATCACCTTGTGCACATGTGTTAGCATATTTTCACAAATGTTTTCAAGGGTGTTAGCACTCCACTAGATCCTAAATGCATATGCAATGAGTTAGAGCATCTAGTGGCACTTTGATAACCGTATTTCAATATGAGTTTCACCACTCTTAATAGTACGGCTATCTAACCTAAATATGATCACACTCGCTAAGTGTCTTGATCACCAAAATAAAATGGCTCCTACTATTTATACCTTTGCCTTGAGCCTTTTGTTTTTCTCTTTCTTCTTTTCAAGTTCAAGCATTTGATCATCACCATGCCATCACCATCGTCATGATCTTCGCTATTGCTTCATCACTTGGAGTAGTGCTACCTATCTCATAATCACTTTGATAAACTAGGTTAGCATTTAGGGTTTCATCAATTAACCAAAACCAAACTAGAGCTTTTAACGACCCCCTACCAAGGCCCATTTGGCCTCAGGGGGGAATCACTTACCACCTTGCCAATGGCGGTTGTGGGGTGGATGGCCCGAATTGAGTGCGTTGGATGGCGGCTCCTTTACTAATAGAGGGAATAAAGGGAATATTCTATGGATCATTCCCTCCTCTCCACCTATAAAAGGAGGCCACCTCATCCTCACACAACACACACCACAAGGGAGCACCTCCACTCTATTTTCAAGATGTAGAAGTAGAATAGTGTAGTTGTGAGTTAGGGAGAGATGCTCAGGTTCCGGAAGAGTCCTCAGAGGTTCGGTATATCCTTGTATCATTCCTTTGTAAAACTCAAGTAGAAATATATGTATCTTCTCTAATTACTTGAACATATTTCATGGTTATCTAGTTTATTTCTTAGTGTTTATCTAAGCATAGTTAGTATAGTTGTTCTACACCTTAAGAACCTCACTCAAAGTCTCCTCCAGACATTCGAACGCAATACCACTAGGAAGCATGTCATCACCCTCTTCTTTAAACCTTAAGAACCTTCCTCAAAGTCTCCTCCAGACATTCGAACGCAATACCACTAGGAAACATGCCATCACCCTCGTCTTTAATTCCCTAGATGTTGGCGGCAAATAAGTTAGAATTTTTCTGCAAAAAGGCAAAACTTATTAGATAAACAACACAAAAGCAGAAAATATGTGTGATGGGATTAAGTGAACAACCTTGATGTGAAGAGTTTCCAGGCGTGGAAAATAGTATAGAAAGTCCAGCATTTTGGGAACGTTTGGTCGAAGCAGTTGCATGCAAAACGTTTTCACGCTCGCCAATTGAGTAGCAAGGCTAGTAACCATGGTTCACTGATATACAAATACAATAACATGAAGATTAAAATGACTCAGTAAGTAGAGAAAATACATAGCAACG